ACAATAATTTAGAGCACAGTTTCTAAGGTCTCAAATATACCAATACTAATTTTAAAAAATATAATCAAGCCAGATGTCAGTGGCTCACACCTGTAATCCTAGCTACTCAGGAAGCTAAGATCTGAGGATCACAGATCAAAGCCAGCCTAGGCAGGAAGTCCATGAGACTCATATGTCCAATAAACTACTAAAAAAAATTTCTGAAGCAATTTGTGATTCAAGTGGTACAGCATCAGCCTTGATAAAAAAGAAGCTCAGGGCTAGGAATATGGCTTAGTGGTAGAGTGCTTCCCTAGTAGTATGCATGAAGCCCTGGGTTCAATTCCTTAGTACCACATACACAGAAAATGCCATAAGTGGCGCTGTGGCTCAAGTGGTAGAGTGCTAGCCTTGAGCAAAAGAATCTCAAGGACAGTGCCGAGGCCTGAATTCAAGCCCATAGGAAGGAAGGAAGGAAGGGAGGGAGGGAGGGAGGGAAGGGGAGGGGAGGGAAGGGGAGGGAGGGAAGGGAAGGGAAAGGAAGGGAAGGAGGGAGGGAGGGAAGCAGGCAGGCAGGCAGGCAGGGAGGCAGGGAGGCAAGGGAGGCAGGGAGGCAAGGGAGGCAGGGAGGGAAGGGAGAGAAGGAGGCAGGGAGGGAAGGGAGGCAGGGAAGGAAGGGAGAGAAGGGAGAGAAGAGAGGCAGGGAGGGAAGAGGGAAAGGAAGCAGGGAGAGAAGGGAGACAGGGAGGGAAGGGAGGCAGGGAGGGAAGGAGAGAGGAGGGAAGGAGGGAAGGAGGGAAGGAGGGAAGGAGGGAAGGAGGGAAGGAAGGAAGGAAGGAAGGAAGGAAGGAAGGAAGGAAGGAAGGGAGAGAGAGAGGCTTAGGAGCTGGGGCTCATGCCTGTAACCCCAGCTACTCAGCAGGCTGAGATCTGAGGATCCTGGTTCAATGCTAGCCTGGTCAGGAAAGTCTGAGAGACTCATCTCCAATAAACTACTCAAAAAACCAGAAGTGGAGCTACAGCTCAAGTGGTAGAGCTTAAGCAAAAGAAGTTCAGGGACAGTGCCCAAGCTGAGTTCAAGCCCCAGGACTAGCAGCAAATAAATAAATAAATAATTCAGATACTTCACTAAAGAAGATATACAAGCTTCCAATAAGTAAATGAAAAGATACTCAATATTAAGCCACAGGAAGATTATCACTACACATCTATTACAAGTGCTGAAATTAAAATGACTGAGAATATCAAGTTTGGGGGAGGATCTGGAGCAAATGGAACTCTTATACACTGTGTTGGGAAAATAAAATGATTAACTACCATGGTCAAGTATTTGGCAGTTTCTTAAAAAGGTTAAAGAAGTACATATCTACTTCCTAATATAGCCATTTCTCTCCTAGAGATTTATGCAAGATAAATAAAAACATAAATACATATACAGAACTGTACATGAATATTCATACCAAGCTTTGCAATAATCAAAAACTGGAAACAACCCAAATAACTGTCAGCAGACAAATGAAAAAACAGATTGTGGTGTGTTCAAAACAGTGAGAAAACTACTCAGCAATAAAAAGGAATGTACTACTAATACATTCAAAAGTCTGAGTCTCAAAAAGAATAATGCAGAGCAAAGCCAAACTAAAATGAGTGCATGTTTTCATTTATTAGAAAAATTCTAGAAAATGCAAATGATCCATAGTGACAGGAAGGAGATCAATGGTTGTCTTAGGAAATGACTGCCAAAGGACAATAGAAAACTTTGAAGGAAAAAGCTGGGCGCTGGTGGCTCACGCCTGTAATCCTAGCTATTGAGGAGGCTGAGATCTGAGGATCATGGTTCAAAGCCAGCCCGGGCAGGAAAGACCGTGAGAGTCCTATCTCCAATAAACCACCAGAAAACTGGAAGTGGCACTGTAGCTCAAGTGGTAGAGCACTCACCTTGAGCTGAAGAGCTAAGGGACAGTGCCCAACCCCAGAGTTCAAGCCCCATGACCGACCAAAAAAAAAAAAAAAAAAACTTTGAAGGATAGTAAAGAGAAAAATTCTGAGATGTCCTAAATTTAATTAGAAGGACAAGATGGACAAAGAGTCAGAGGAAGTTAACCAATGTAGCCAGAACAACAGAAATTATTCTAACTTTCCAAATGTATGTTGAAATCTTCCTCCATCCTAAATTGTTGGTTGATAAAATAACTTTTTTTTGGCCAGTCCTGGGGCTTGACCTCAGAACTTGCAGACTGTCCCTGAGCTTCTTTTGTTCAAGGCTAGCCCTGTACCACTAAGCCACATTCCCAGCCATAAAATAACTTTTCAGATTAACTTCAACCAATCCAGAAGCAACCAATACTTCCCCTATGTACTGTGTAAAGGACTGACCCCCTCACCCTGTTTTCCCTAACATTGTCCTCCTAACCTAAAATTCTCCCTTCTTTGTATTATCCAATGCTGCTTACTCTGGCCAAAATGAACAACTCATGTATTCCTCTGCAAATTTTATTATTTCCTAAGTCCGGCCCAAATAGTTCCGCCTTGCTTTCTGGCCTTGCTGCCTAGGATCCTACCAGTCGGGAAGCTGAGACAGGAGGTTCCTGAATTACAGACCAGCCTAAGCTACAAAGTTGGATGACAACCAGGGTTATATTGTGAGAGCCTGTCTTAGAATAATAATAATAATACAACTTTTATTTCAGATAACTCTGGAACATTTTGGCTAACAAGAACGATGGTTTCATGAATGTTCCCCAGGATGTCTATGTAGTCAGAAATTCATCAAGCTGTACACTTTAATAAGTTTATTGTATGTTTTAGAAAGAAAATGTGTCAAATCCACACACACAAAAAAAAAATTTTAAAAGGCAAAAACAAAAATCCTCCCAACCCCCTGGGGGGTCAGTGTCGACCCTATTCGCTCCAGGGAACAGCCTCTCTGGTCCCACCTCCATCTCCAGACTCCTTCGGAGGGGAAGGCGGGACCCAGACAGGTTCACAAACTTCAAGGCTTTCAAGCGCGCGCCACGGTGCTCCTGGGGGCGAGGTTCCTGTTTACCCCCCGCTTACCTCCGCATCCTCAACCCTCAGCCCCACCCGACCGAGAGCAGCGG